ATCCATAATAAAACAAAAAGCGCATTTTTTTTTTTTTTTTAGTCCCAAAATAAATAAAATGATCCTAAATACATTACCACCCCCCCCCCAAAAAAAAAATTCCATAATAAAAAAAGAAGAGTGTATCCTTTTTTTCAGTCCCAAAATAAACAAAATGACCCTAATTACATTACCACCACCCCCCCCCCCCAAAAAAAAAAATCCATAAGAAAAACAAAAGTATTTTTTTTTTTTTAAGTCCCAAAATTAACAAAATGATCCTAAATACATTACCCACCCCCCCCCAAGAAAAAACCAAAATCCATAATAGAAAAAGAAGAGCGTATCTTTTTTTTTTTCAGTCCCAAAACAAACAAAGTGATCCTAAATACATTACCACCCCCCCCCACCAAAAAAATCCATAATATAAAAAAAAAGTTGTTTTTTTTTTAGTCCCAAAATAAACAAAATGGTCCTAAACACATTACTTCCCCCCCCCCCCCCACCCCCCCAAAAAACAAAATCCATTTTGTCAAGCAACTTGCAGCATATGGCCGGCATATGGCACCAGCCGATTTTCATGGTTCCTCCCCTTTTCAGTGATCGGGCACGTTGGAAAATTCGTGAAAAACGACCGATTTTCGACTCAACGATGGTCAAATCGTATGATCGTTTTTCCGAAAAGAATATGCGCATGAGCCGTGACCTGGAAGGAACAGAAGTCTCGCCTGTTATATGGGGGGAACTTTATGACTCGGTCGGCCGATTTTCAAAATCATTAATGACGCCATCGGATTACCGAGCGAACGTTTTTGATTTTCGGATGAAAAATCGTTCGGAATTCGAACCTTGCATGGCCCGCATTAGTGGGTCACAGAAATGGACGATTTTCGTGTGGCCATCGAATTTGAGCGATCGGGCATGTTGTAAATTTTTTGGAAAATGAACGAATTTTATAATCTATGATGGGAGAATCGTGCGAAAAGTATAAAGCCGTGACCTGGAAAAAAAAAAAAAAATCTTGGCCACGAAAATTCTTTTTCGTGGACAAGGGGGGAATGGAAGGCTTGGTTGGTCGAATTTTCGAATTTCGAAATTCAAAATCAATGGTGGCACCATCGCATTACAAAACGCACAAAACTTTCTAAAGTAAATTTGTCCGGAATTCGATCAATTTCGAGAATTCGAGAAATTTCCAAAAAATTTTAACATGCCCAATCATTCAAATTTGATGGTCGCTTGAAAATCGGCCGTTGCCGTGGTGCGAAATTTGAATGAAAATCCTTAAAAGATTTTCAAAAGAAAATTCGTTCGGAATTCGGCCCGCGGATGGCCGGCTTTCCTTATAGAATCATAGTCTTGAATGTAGTTTTTGCACAGCCAGGCAGATGCTATCTCTTGATTGGACATGAAGTTATCAGGGGCGGGCATGATATCGGAAGCTGCTGTTTGATTGGTTGAGGATACTTGTGTTTTGTAGATATAGGACATCCCTGGAGCACCTTCGGATGTGCACACTCTTCAATTACCTCCGATAACCACTTGGTGCAGAATCATCAGTGACACCTTTAGGAGGTGATTCAGGGATAGGGGGGTTATCACAAGTCACAAATGGCGCACTTTTATAGCAAAACAAACTAGGCTTTCTGATGGAAATATTGCAAAAAATATTTAATTTTCACCATCAGGAAACGTCATACATCAGAAATGTCATACAGCCGTGGTAGAATGCACATAGACAGGAGGTGGCTGCAAAGAGGCTGCGGGAGATCAGCAGCACTGAGGTGCAACAAGGGACAAAGAGAATATTAATAATAATAATAATAATAATAATTAAAACATTTTTAATAATAAAGTAGTATATTTAAATACATGAATTTAATTAATAGTTAATAATAACAATAAAAAACATTAATTTGGGCAGCACAGTGGTAACTGGTTAGCACTTCCACCTGGCAGTACTCGGGGTTGTTGGTTCGAATCCCAGCCAAGGCACCACCTGCCTGGAGTTTGCATGTTCTCCCTGTGCCTGTGTGGGTTTCCTCCGGGTACTCCAGTTTCCTCCCACACTCCAAAGACATGCTGGGAGGTTAATTGGATCCCGTCTAAATTTTCCCTTATATATGAATGTGAGTTAGGGACCTTAGATTGTACACCCCTTGGGGGCGGGGACTGATGTGAATATACAATATATATGTAAAGCGCGGCGTAAATTGACAGCGCTATATAAGTACCTGAAATAAATAATAAAGTAGTACATTTAAATACATGAATTTCATTAATATTTTTTATTATTATTAATAATAATAATAATAATAATAATAATAATAATAATAACATTTAAATATTGAGCAAATTAATGTATTTACATTTACTATATTATTATTATTATCATCATCTAATTTTATTTTTTAAATATTTTTAAGCAGTACATTTAAATACATGAATTTAATTAATATTTTATTATTATTATTATTAATAATAATAATAATAATAATAATAATAATAATAATAGTAGAAATAATAATAAAATATTAATTAAATTCATGTATTTAAATGTACTGCTTAAAAATATTTAAAACATAAAATTAGATGATGATAATAATAATAAATAGTAAATGTAAATACGTTAATTTGCTCAATATTTAAATGTTATTATTATTATTATTATTATTAATAATAATAATAATAATAATAATAATAATAATAAATATAATAAAATATTAATTAAATTCATGTATTTAAATGTACTGCTTAAAAATATTTTAAAAAATAAAATTAGATGATGATAATAATGATAATATAGTAAATGTAAATACATTAATTTGCTCAATATTTAAATGTTATTATTATTATTATTATTATTATTATTATTAACATTTAAATATTGAGCAAATTAATGTATTTACATTTACTATATTATCATTATTATCATCATCTAATTTTATTTTTTAAATATTTTTAAGCAGTACATTTAAATACATGAATTTAATTAATATTTTATTATTATTATTATTAATTAATAATAATAATAATAATAAATAATAATAATAATAATAATAATAACATTTAAATATTGAGCAAATTAACGTATTTACATTTACTATTTATTATTATTATCATCATCTAATTTTATGTTTTAAATATTTTTAAGCAGTACATTTAAATACGTGAATTTAATTAATATTTTATTATTATTTCTACTATTATTATTATTATTATTATTATTAATAATAATAATAATAATAATAATAATAATAATAATAATTAAAACATTTTAATAATAAAGTAGTATATTTAAATACATGAATTTAATTAATAATTAATAATATAATAACAATAATAAAACATTAATTTGGGCAGCACACTGGCACTTCCGCCTGGCAGTACTCGGGTCGCTGGTTCGAATCCCAGCCATGGCACCACCTGCCTGGAGTTTACATGTTCTCCCTGTGCCTGCATGGGTTTCCTCCGGGTACTCCGGTTTCCTCCCGCACTCCAAAGACATGCTGGTAGGTTAATTGGCTCCTGTCTAAATTGTCCCTAGTATGTGTATGTATGAATGTGAGTTAGGGACCTTAGATTGTACGCTCCTTGGGGGTTAGGGATGATGTGAATGTACAATATGTATGTAAAGCTCTGTGTAAATTGATAGTATATAAGTACCTGAAATAAATAAATAATAAAGTAGTACATTTAAATACATGAATTGAATAATATTTAAATAATAATAATAATAATAAAAATAGCTAATTGATAATAATAATAATAATAATTATTATTATTATCAATTAGCTATTTCTAATATTATCATTATTATTATTAAAATATTAATTCAATTCATGTATTTAAATGTACTACTTTATTATTTATTTATTTCAGGTACTTATATAGTGCTTGTTAATAATAATAATAATAATAATAATAATAATAATTATTATTATTATTATTATAAATTAGCTATTTCTATTATTATTATTATTATTTAAATATTAATTAAATTCATGTATTTAAATGTACTACTTTATTATCTATTTATTTCAGGTACTTATATACCGTAGTACTTATTATTCTTCTTCTTATTATTATTATTATTAATAATAATAATAATAATAATATTAATAATAAAAATAATAGAAATAGCTAATTGATAATAATAATAATAATAATAATAATAATAAGTACTACGGTATATAAGTACCTGAAATAAATAGATAATAAAGTAGTACATTTAAATACATGAATTTAATTAATATTTAAATAATATAATAATAATTAATAATAAGCACTATATAAGTGCCTGAAATAAATAAATAGTAAAAATAAAATAAAAAGTGGTACATTTAAATACATTAATTTAATATTTAAATAATAATAACAATACAAATAGCTAGTTGATGATAATAATAATAATAATAATATTAATAATTATTATTAATAATTAATTAATAATACTACTATTTAATAATAAACAAACCCTTCCCTATAGAAGATTAAATATAGATTTTTTTCATGTATGTATATATACATTGTAAAGCTGAACTCTAGGCACACAAAAAAAAATTAAATATTATCCTCAATAGGGATATAAATTCACTTTGTGTACACCAAATGCCTTTGCAAACCCAGATATTACCTTGTAAACACAGCAGTGACATTCACCATAGCCTCTGCAGAGCGAGGCTATGGTGATGGGAGGGGCCCAGCAGCTCCATCCACTACAGGAGGGGGCGGGGACAAGACCAGTCCCCCTGCACAAGCAGAGAGGGCAGCAGTGAGTGGTCTTTATTCCAGGAAGTCTCACACTTCGCTTTCACTTCATTGTCAGGATTGCGCACATTTGTTCATCAGAGTAGTCCCCCCCCCCCCCCCCCCCAGGTGTCCTGGCCACACAGGGCTACTGAGGACAGGAAGCCGCAGGCACGTCTAGAGGGACGCAGAGGAGGTCATGTGACGTGTAACATGGGCTGGTAAATAGACTCCTATAGGCTGTGTGTGTAGCTGTGACACCCAGAAGGACGATGGAGCCGGCTGTGCTGAGACATTTGCTGTCCTCGGTAATTCTGGGCTCTGTGATCCATGGCTCCGGAGTGAGCGCACTGAACAATGGCCTGGCCCTCACCCCTCCGATGGGCTGGCTACACTGGCAGAGGTTCCTGTGTCAGACTGACTGCAAAAACTATCCGTCTTCTTGTATCAAGTAAGTATGGAAGGTCAGGTGATCCTGAGAATGTTTAGAGGAAGTGACAGAAGGGCGTATTCATACATTCACCGAACATTCACTGCAGGTGAATGCCCCTTGGGGCTCGTGTACACGGCTGTGTTTGTTTCAGTCATTTACAATAAAATAGGTTTGTTTTCCTTTAAATCTCGTGTTTGGCTGCATGCGATTTATACACACCCTGATATATCTCTGACCATCCCCTGTATCCTGTCTGCAGTCTCTGACCGTCTCCTGTACTATGTCCGCAGTCTCTGACCATCTCCTGTATCATGTCTGCAGTCTCTGACCATCTCCTGTATCATGTCTGCAGTCTCTGACCATCTCCTGTATCATGTCTGCAGTCTCTGACCATCTCCTGTATCATGTCCGCAGTCTCTGACCATCTCCTGTACCATGTCCGCAGTCTCTGACCATCTCCTGTACCATGTCTGCAGTCTCTGACCATCTCCTGTACCATGTCTGCAGTCTCTGACCATCTCCTGTACCATGTCTGCAGTCTCTGACCATCTCCTGTATCCTGTCTGCAGTCTCTGACCATCTCCTGTATCGTGTCCGCAGTCTCTGACCATCTCCTGTATCCTGTCTGCAGTCTCTGACCATCTCCTGTATCATGTCTGCAGTCTCTGACCATCCCCTGTATCCTGTCTGCAGTCTCTGACCATCCCCTGTATCCTGTCTGCAGTCTCTGACCATCCCCTGTATCCTGTCTGCATCCTGTCCCCTGTATCCTGTCAGCAGTCTCTGACCATCTCCTGTATCCTGTCTGCAGTCTCTGACCATCTCCTGTATCATGTCTGCAGTCTCTGACCATCTCCTGTATCATGTCTGCAGTCTCTGACCATCTCCTGTATCATGTCTGCAGTCTCTGACCATCTCCTGTATCATGTCTGCAGTCTCTGACCATCTCCTGTATCATGTCTGCAGTCTCTGACCATCTCCTGTATCATGCCTGCAGTCTCTGACCATCTCCTGTATCATGTCTGCAGTCTCTGACCATCTCCTGTACTATGTCCGCAGTCTCTGACCATCTCCTGTGTCGTGTCCGCAGTCTCTGACCATCTCCTGTATCGTGTCCGCAGTCTCTGACCATCTCCTGTATCCTGTCTGCAGTCTCTGACCATCTCTGTATCCTGTCTGCAGTCTCTGACCGTCTCCTGTATCATGTCTGCAGTCTCTGACCATCTCCTGTATCATGTCTGCAGTCTTTGACCATCTCTAGTGTCATGTCCTAAACTTCAGCCGCCATCTTTTTATTCTCCAAGGCCTCTCCTTTTTTTAAAAATATCTATTTTCTTGGGGATTTAAAGTCATTTTCAAGAAAACAAAACGGGCATTTTTAATTCCTGAAAAGTGAAATAAAAATTGTCCGCCATGAAACGGTTACCCAGCAGTCTCAGTGTTCAAGTAGATGACTCAGATGTCCTCAGGTGCTTGTTGCTCCAGTAGAATCACCTGACGGGGAGATGGTAACACCGAGTCCTTTTTGGAAGTCTTTTTTTTTTTTTTTTTTTTTTTTGCAAATAAACAATCTTTCTCCATAAATCTCGGCCAAAATGTATTCAGCTATCTTTTTTTGTAAAAAAAAATAAAATAACCCAAATTAGTATATAACCAAAAATTATAATTTTAAGAATAGTCTTACATTTTTATTTTTTTATATTATTTGTTTTTTGTTTTTTTTTAGTTTATAACCAAAAATTATAATTTTTTTAAAAATGTGTTTTACATGTTTTTTTTTTATATATTATTATTTGTGGGTTTTTTTTGTTTATAACCAAAATTTTATAATTTTTTTTTTTTTTTTTTTTTACATTTTTATTTTTTTATATTATTATTTGTGGGGTTTTTTTTTAGTTTATAACCAGAAATTATAATTTTTTAAAAAAAAGTTTTACTTTTTTTTTTACATACCGTCACCCTAGCAGTATAGTGTCACCATAGTGACATTGTACGACTTGTGGGGGGTGATGAAGATTTTTTTTTTCTTTTTTTTTACACTGATTGCTTTTACACCCATAAAGGCTGTAAAAGCAATCATTTCTCCTTCTCTCTGGCTGCATTCCTGCAGCCATTGAGAAATACTGTGAGAGCTGTGATTGGTCACAGCTTGTCACATGGTACAAGGCTGTTGTGAATAGCCCTGTACCATGTGACCTCTGTGATCATTTACAGATTTCACATGTAGTAGGCAATGATGTCAGGAAGTGACATCTTGTTTACTACTGCTCATGTGATCACTGATTGGCCAATCAGGAATCACATGAATCAGGACCTCACACATTGGTCCCGTACAGCGATCCTCTGGACACAGCATGCATCGGATCACGGTGCCACGCTCTCCCAGGGAGCGTGCACAGGCAGTGAATGTGGGGGCCGTTTATACATGGCAACCCGCTTCAGCACTGCTCCCGTCCGGCCGTTTATGTACATAAACGGACGGGAAGTGGTTCAGAAAACATGGAATCACAAGAAAAGCCAAAATATTTCCAGGGCTCAGGTGCTGATAGTAAATACAGAGATTACTGGACAACGGATTACAAAGTGAGAAGATAAAGTGGTGCTCATTTGGGAGGCCATCAACATGCATTTGCACCATTTCACCTTTTTACTTTGTCAAGTTCTGTAATCTATTTATTATCTGAGCCTGAATTTCTCAACTGGGGTTCCTCCAGAGGTTGCTGGGGGGTTTCTTGAGCTGTATAGTACCGGGGCCAACACTACTAGGTAGAGCCAGCACCATGCCACTCATAATCTTAGCTGTCTTTATGGGTGGCATTCTGACCACCACTGTAAGAGTTGCCTTCTGCTGACCACCACTGTAAGAGTTGCCTTCTTCTACTTATCACCACTGTAAGAGTTGCCTTCTTCTACTGACCACCACCGTAAGAGTTGCCTTCTTCTACCGACCACCACCGTAAGAGTTGCCTTCTTCTACCGACCACCACCGTAAGAGTTGCCTTCTTCTACCGACCACCACCGTAAGAGTTGCCTTCTTCTACCGACCACCACCGTAAGAGTTGCCTTCTTCTACCGACCACCACCGTAAGAGTTGCCTTCTTCTACCGACCACCACCGTAAGAGTTGCCTTCTTCTACCGACCACCACCGTAAGAGTTGCCTTCTTCTACCGACCACCACCGTAAGAGTTGCCTTCTTCTACCGACCACCACCGTAAGAGTTGCCTTCTTCTACCGCCCACCACCGTAAGAGTTGCCTTCTTCTACCGCCCACCACCGTAAGAGTTGCCTTCTTCTACCGCCCACCACCGTAAGAGTTGCCTTCTTCTACCGCCCACCACCGTAAGAGTTGCCTTTCTGCCGCCTTCTACCGCCCACCACCGTAAGAGTTGCCTTCTTCTACCGCCCACCACCGTAAGAGTTGACCACCACCTTCTTCTACCGCCCACCACCGTAAGAGTTGCCTTCTTCTACCGCCCACCACCGTAAGAGTTGCCTTCTTCTACCTACCGCCCACCACCGTAAGAGTTGCCTTCTTCTACCGCCCACCACCGTAAGAGTTGCCTTCTTCTACCGACCACCACCGTAAGAGTTGCCTTCTACTGACCACCACCGTAAGAGTTGCATTCTTCTACTGACCACTAATGTAAGGGGCATTTTACCATTTGACCCCTCAGGAATTAATAAGGGTTCCTCAAGACCTGAAAATAAGATCAGGGATTCCTCTGGAATAAAAAGGTTGAGAAGGCTGAGCTCTGATAAAGGAGGAGAGTTGAACCCCTAAAACATGTTGGATTTTCTTGTGGCCTTCTGTTGTGTACCACAAAGACTTGCCCTGGCCAAAAGTTTTGAGAATAACACCAATATTAATTTTCACAAAGTTTGCTGCTTCAGTGTTTTTAGATCTTTTTGTCAGATGTTACTATGGTGTACTGAAGTATAATTACAAGCATTCCATAAATGTCAAAGGATTTTATTGACCATTACATGAAGTTTATGCAAAGAGTCAATATTTGCAGTGTTGACCCTTCTTCTTCAAGACCTCTGCACTTCGCCCCGGTCAATCAGCTTCTGGGCCACATCCTGACTGAATGGCAGCTCATTCAATCAGCTGCTTGGAGTTTTTTAGAATTTGTGGAGGTTTTTGTTCGCCTGCCTCTTGAGGATGGACCACAAGTTCTCAATGGGATTGAGGTCTGGGGAGTTTCTTGGCCATGGACCCAAAATTTCGATGTTTTGTTTCCCAAGCCGTTTAGCTATCACTTTTGCCTTATGGCAAGGTGTTCCATCATGCTGGGAAAAGGCATTGTTCCTCACCAAACTGTTCTTGGATGGTTGGGAGAAGTTGGTCTTGGAGGATGTTTGTAACGGACCACCTGACAGCACCTCTATCAGTCCCCTGATAGAGTCTCCCCAGAGTGCGGAGTCTAAGTACCTGACAGGCGCAGCCTAGGTCCTAGTGCCTGCCCAGTACTGTCATAGATGACGGGCGCGCCTGGACGGGTCCTAGTGCCATGCTGCCTGTATGTCTTGACAGACACCTACGCATGTGTAGACCCATGCGTCGCGATGGGTCCCTGACAATGTTTTTGTACCATTCTGTTCTTAGGAAAAATTTGGAGTGAGCCCACTTCCTTGGGCGAGAAGCAACTCCACACTTGAATGGTCTCAGGATGCTTTACTGTTGGCATGACACAGGACTGATGGAAGCGCTCACCTTTACTTCTCCGAATGCCCAAACAATCGGAAAGGGGATTTATCACTGAAAATGACTTTACCCCAGTCCTGAGCAGTCCAATTCCTGGACCTTTTGCAGAATATCCATTGGTCCCTGATGTTTTTCCTGGAGAGAAGTGGCTTCTTTGCTGCTCTTCTTGACACCAGGCCATCCTCCAAAAGTCTTCTCCTGTGCATACCGATGCATCACACCTGCTTCTGCCATCCCTGCGCAAGCCCTGCACTGGTGGTGCCCCGATCCCCGCAGCTGAATCAACTTTAGGAGACAGTCCCGGCATTTGCT